CACACACACACACACACACACACACACACACACAGAGAGAGAGAGAGAGAGAGAGAGAGAGAGAGAGAGAGAGAGAGAGAGAGAGGCGTGCGTCTTACAGGAGACGTGGTTAACTGATACTATCTTTTCAGCTGATGAAGCCCTTTTCGCCGTTTCAAATCTCATTGACGAAAGTGACCTTGCACACAGGTGCAATACGCATGCGCTTAGTAAATTGCTATTAGCGTGTACTGGGGCGCTTAAGCAAACCGGGATCCATGCATCCATGCATCCATTCATGCATACATACCATCCACACATACATATATACATAGATACGTCGAAGAATGATGATCAGTAGTACAATTATGGGCGCATAACAATGTACAATCAGAAATACATACGGTGATCATGATGGTGGTGGTCATGACGATAACGACGATGGTGACGATGCGATGCCGATGATGATGATACTAGAAAATGACCATCCGGCTCTGATAAAGAAGGGGCTGACGGTCAGGTGCATTATCTATGCGAACAAGCATACAATACCGCATACTGTGATACATACATACAATATTGATAGTATACTTACGTAAAACACCACAATGCAGTAATGATGATCGATGGTAATGAACGAGAATATACAACGATGATCATGACAATGATATGATGATGATGATGATGATGATGATGGCATTGGGCAATGACCGTCCCGTGCTGTCAAAGGACTGTGAAAGGTCAGTTGCATGATCTGTACCGATGTGTTGAAAGGAGTACCTTCCCTCCCTTGGCACAGCATCTTTCGCAATATGAGTGCCAACCTTACCCTACCAGACAAGGATCAAAGAGTGGAGTGTACAAGGTTTTGGACGGCGATGAAGTAGTCTTTTGTTGGTTTGCTGGAGGCAGGGAGGTCTCCGTCCTTGCTATCACGAGGACCACACATTGCTAGTGCTAGTCCTGTTTAAAGGCAGGGAAGTAGTCTCTGTCCTTGCTCCCTGTCCCTATCACCACCACCATTTACTTGTACTATTTCCGCCATTACTATCACTACCGTCTTCACCCGAAAAGAACGCCCGGTCATTATAGCCGTATTGGGCACACCTTTCGGTCCAGATGCAGCGATAATGACCGGGCGTTCTATTCGGGTGAAGACGGTAGTGCCGCTGCTGCAATTTTAAACTCATCATGAAGAAGGGTACCACCTCTACGATGACTGCTTTTTAATTGTGCTTTGGAAGTCTGGATTAATTTTGCTGAAGATAGATGCCACCTCTACGATGACTGCTTTTTAATTGTGCTTTGGAAGTCTGGATTAATTTTGCTGAAGATAGATGACTGCTTTTTAGTTGTGCTTTGGAGTAATTTTGCTGAACATTGCAAAGCGGTTGCAGAGCGTGCACTTCGCTGTCCAGAGTTAGTAAATAAGGATGGAGAAAAGGAAAGTGCATAGAGAGAGAAGCATGGTGACAAGGAAAATACATAGACAAATAAACATGAAGAAAGGGAAAAAAGTTAAGAAAACATATATAAATAAACATGGAGAAAAGGAAAATACATAAATTTTTTGACGACGGAGACATAAGAGCATTGGATGATTTCCTTGGCTCTTAACCCATTGATTTGCCTCTGTAATCTGAGATTGGCATTCTATTATCGCAGCACCGTGGTTGGTTGAACTGATTTTGACGACGGGGATATAAGAGCATTGGATGATTTCCTTGGCTCTTCCCCATTGATTTGCCGCTGTAATCTGAGATTGGCATTCTATTATCGCAGCACCGTGGTTGGGATTCCGTGGTCCCCTCCCATTCAAAAGCCATTGGGATGCTGATGGCTCATTAATGCATGAATTAAACTCAAAAGCCGACAGCCTCGGATTTGCCTGCCTGCCTGCAACCAGTCTCCTGCAAAGCAAGGAATCATCCATGTATTGTAGTTGTGTCTTGTTGTTTCTGTCTCCTGTAACCCATGTGCTTGAGATATAGCAACAATTCACTGTCTGCTGTGCCTGCCGGCTGCATCCACCTACTGATGCTGCCATTGTTGGTGCTGTGTACTTCTTCCTCGCCTCCCCCCCGGCCCCCGCCCCCGCCCCCGCCCCCCCAGTCTTCTTCCTACGTGCAGGGTGGGCAGGGCATGTCAAAAACAGTCTTCTTTCTTCTGTCCCGCAGTCGTTTAAGACCTTTCCTAGGTGCAAAAGGGTTTGATATGGTTGTACGTACTGTTGTCCACGCGGCCTGGCTTTGCAGATGTATCTTTGGTTAGCATGTTTACAAGATCTCTCTGGCACCTCCCCTGCTCCATTTCCCCCCCTTTCCCGTGCTGTCCTTTTCCGCAGTTTTGAAGTGCTCAGATAGCGTGGTATATACCGTCCACTTGCCCTGGCTTCGCCGATGTAGCTCTGGCTAGCATGATACTTCATCCCTGGCACCTCCTCCCCATTTCTCCCTGCCCCCTAGTGAGGGCCGGTGGAAGCTCACTAAGCAAAGAAGCAAGATGACAGCCAAGTAGCAGTGTGAAACGAATCGAGTGGGAGTTTACCCTGAAGTTAATGCGGATGAACTCTGCTTTGGCCTGTGCTTTGGTCCATCCTTGGGTCATTCAGCATGCTTTGGTATGGAGGAGGGGAGGATGCACATGTGTCTATCGCAAGGATGGCACGGGGTACAGAAAGATAATTGTTGTGCGAAATTGTAATGGAACGGGGTTGAATCAATTTCTGCACTGGACGCAGTGCAGGTATGTAAAGTTGTTTGCATGATATGAGGTTATCATACATCTGTTATTGATGTTTGATGATACATCTGTTTATTGATGTGGTATAAAGGGGGTTCCCTTCCTGGGCTTGTTTCGTATGCGGCAGTCTTAAACCACCCCATTTTTATGACGAGCATGGTTATGGGGGACTTCAATTTTGCAGTTGGTTGTTGTTGGATGGCCCACCTGGCAGTCTTAGTTCTTTTTCTCATCTACAGAAACTGGTGTAGGCCTAGAGGGATGGTGTGAACCTTGTCTGCCTTTGGACGGGGTTAACACATAGTCTAACTCCGTTAAAGCCAAAGTACCCAACCGTGATTTAATTAGCAGGCCCCCGTTGTTGCTGCTGCTCTTGCTTCTGTCCCTTCAACCCCTCCTGTCCAGCTGTCCTCTTTTCTAGCTGCAGACTCAGTAGTCTTATTGGGTGAAAGCTCATGGAACTGCCATTTTTTGGATTGTTTGGTGGACTGCAGGTATGGTGTGAATCCTCAGGATGAGCGCTTCAGTGCTGAATTGAAGAGCCTGTATGATCGGTAATTATACCTTTTGTCACTTCCTATGGGCTGCTGTGGCTGTCGTGCGGGCTTTCTAGGACTAGTTCTTGTCATTCTGAATCTGAGTGGCAACCTTTGGGGTTTTGGGGGGGGGGGGAGGAGGAGGGGATTGAGGATTCGCCTCTGCGGGTAACCACAGTGCTTATGTTTCTGCAATACAGAACGTGCCAGAAGGTGAGGTTTGGAATAGGGAGATGTGAGGACGGTCCTCTGTGGGTCGCCACGTTGCTTGTGTTTCTGCAGCACATAACATGCCGGAAGGTGAGGTTGGGAGTGGGGAGATCCTAGGGAAGTAACAGAAATTGGAGAGATTCTTGGTTGTAGATGTCGACAAAGAGGAGGTTCTTTGGGTGGACTCTGCACTTTGACCTAATGACAGTTATGTCTGGCAATTGTGGTCAATTTCCATAACCTTTTGTTCCGTAAACATTTTCACCTGCAAGCCTTTTTGCGAAACCTTTGATCAATGGAGGGGAGCTAAGTATCTGGGTTCCAGATTCTCGTTTGCAGATGCGACCATGAAATCGAGGGATCGATATCCCCTCACTTGTCCAGTCTGCCTTGAAAAAGGTAGCAAGTAGTACTGCAACAGGCGGCCGAAGGCCGAGTTATCCTTTCAATACAATTAAAAACACCTATGTTATTCGCTGTAGATTTTGTCTCCTTGTTTACCAGCGGGAATGCCTTTCCTGACCTGTGGGAGCCTGGGAAAAGAGAGGAACAGATGGTTGGGGGCTGGGTGGCAGGGCAGCATGGGGATGGCAGGGGAGGGGGAAGAACGCCTGGGTGGTGGGGCCAGTGTGGGGATTGCAGGGGAGGGGGAAGAACGCACATCCTCTGACGTTGGCAGGTGTCAGTTTTTTATGTTTCAGCTAATGAGGAGATGTTGGATGTGGTGCATCTTAAGTAATGTTGTCAAGCAGGTGCTCCACATTTCCATGCAATTTGGAAAATAGCGGTACAGGACAGGTTGGATCATACTGGAGATACATGCTTGCCTTGCTTGTGTGCTTGCTTGCTGGAGTAGGCGGCAAATTCCATGTTGTTGGTACTGATGATGCTGATGGATTTGTCTTGCCTTTGTGGCTGACGGGTGGGTGGGCGGATGTGTGCACACATGCGTGTGTGTGTGTGGTTGTGGGTGTGTGCATGCATGTTGTGCATGTGTGCATTGGGTTGGGGGTGGGTGGATTCAGGTTTGTGACAGCTGCTATCCCTCCAGGCAATGAAGACTTGAAGGGTGATGAGGCAGACAAAATTTTCCAGTTTAAGAATGCTCTAGGCTTGCAAGATCCAGATGCGTCTTCTGTACATATGGAGGTATATGCCATTTGATTACTTGGGAGGCAGTGGTTGGCTGGGGAGTGGGGAGGGGTTGGCTCACTAGCCTGATGCAGTGAACGTTTTTTTTTTCTTTGGGCGTTGCTCTGCCTGCCAAAGGCTGTCTGAGGGCTAGCGAGCATGACTTTTTGTTAATATGGTATTTGCCATATTGGCTTTTTTTTGCAGCCTGCTGACTGAAGTGGTTATGCCCTAATCATACCGATGTGTAGCTCGAGCCTTTGACAACTCGTTCACAAAATCCGTGTTCCGGATCATGAGGCCGTGGCACCATTTTGAGCTACTCACCACAACTTTGTCACTGTGAGCAGGTGCTGTTTGGTCTGGTGAACTATAACTGCGGGAAGCGCATGAGCCGGCTGGGAATGTAGGAGTAATTAATGTTGTGCTATTTTCTGCAAGATTCCCGTGGCCAGTGGAGGTCAGGCAGACTCTGTGAAGTGAACAAACCACCAACCTGGCACTATCTTTGCCGTGTGGTGCAGCCTTCTCTCTATTCTATGGAGACTACCGTCTTCACCCGAATATAACCCGATTATAACGCCCGGTCATTATAGCTGTATTTGGCACAACTTTCAGCCCAGATATGGCAATGATTACCAGGCGTTCTATTCGGGTGAAAACGGTAGGGGGTCTAATGGATCGTAGCTGGCACGCCGTTTTAGTATATGGGGTTGCTATGTGGGAGCTGCTGACTCTTCTCATGGCAAGGCCTGAGCTAGTACTGGCTGTAAGCAACCGATAGTAATTTGTACTTTCCATCCCCCCTTTCGAATCTCGTTTTCTGTGGACCGTCCCCTGTTCAATCCTAGTTTTGTGTGGATGGTCTTACTGTCTGTGCAGCTTGTGAATGTGCCGATGCAAGTGCTTTCTTTCGTCATCCTTTTTTGTGCGTGTGCACATGAGTGTGTGCATGCTTTGTGAGGTCACTGTGTGGGAAAGTGAATGGGGGGTTATAATGTGGAAATGGGGGGCTAGATGGGTAGCAGGAAGGAACCTGGGGTTCGGTGTGAAGTTTTGAGTGTTATTCTGCCCGTTAGAATGATATCTTGGTCTCAAGGGACCTTAACTAATGTTATTTGCTGAGGTGATGGATGGATGAGTAGCTCGTTGTTTGCTGTTAAATGTGTTTAATGTGTTTGACTTCATTTACTCTGTTCTTGGGAAGTAGCTGTTATATAACTCCAGGAATGTCTCTGTCTGTGTGAGTGTGTGTGCAGATCGGAAGGCGGATCTTTAGACAACGGCTTGAGACTGGTGACAAAGATACGGCTATAGAAGAACGGAGGGTAAGGGTTTTGGGGGAAATATTTATTAGTAAGGAAGAAGGGACCTAGTTGGAAATGTTGATGGAGTTTAAGAAATCAAAATGGTGGCTGGCAGGAAAGGGGAAAGTAAATTGTGTGTGGATTGGCTCATTTTGTTGTTGCATGGATTTCAACTGGAGCCAATGTGCAAATGTGGTCGTCATGGATCGGCAGCTCAGCAATCAAACTATGACATCGTTCTTCATTGTACTCCAATTGTGAATGAAGTAGTAGCATGCCAGAAAATTGGAAGAAATACGAGATAGAGAATTGCATTTGACAAGTTTCGATCAAAGCTTGATTTCGAGAAAAGCTCGATTTTGGGAAAAAACATTTCTTTGTTTTTTGTTTTTTTTTCCCTTCTAGTTCGAGAAAAGTTTGATTTGGAGAAAGACTGCAACAATGGTGACGTCTGTGTTAAAGCCAGCTATTTAGATAAAAACGAGTGTGCGATTGCCATCTAGCATGTGTTTATTGAGATGCCCTCCCTCCGTCACCCCGTACTCCCCACCTCGCCCTCACCCCACCTTCAGCCCCTCGCCAGTTTTATATGTGGTGAAGCATTGTGTTAGGCCAGTGCTGTATGGAAATTTCCCAAGTATTATCCGGGTGAAAAAAAGGGATAGGACAGCGGCAGAGAGGTTGACATGTGAGAGGTTTACACGCTGGATAGGAGCATCAAGACATTCGCAGGAATAAGGAGCCAGTTTCCACAGAATGGATGATCTTCTTTATAATGCACAGGGGTGTTACTTCCATTCGTCTGTTGTTCTCTCACCCCTTTGCGTGCCATCTAGGATGTATAGCCAATACGGGGTCTTGTAGTACAGGGTTGAATTATTTTCCCGAATCAGTGCGCTTAAAAAGGAAATTCAAAGAAAAGGATTGGAGGTTAAACATAAAAAAAACAGAGAAAAATAAAGCAATCCATTTGTGAATGATACGAGGGGCACCAGTCAAGGCAACTTCGTTGTGAGTTCGAAAACAATAGACAAAACCATAAAGACTCAGGATCCAACCCCATAATAAGAGACTACCTTCATGATTCGACCAAGTTCCAGAAACTTTTGTGTAAATAAGAACTAACGGTTCAACCGTTATGAGCCAGTTTTTCTATAAGCGCTCATGTGCCTATGGGGCAAAAGGCATGAAGCGTAAAATACGCTGAAGAATCAATACTCGGACGATTGATTCTTACTCTTTCTTTATTTACCCCTAGCCACAAGTCATTCCCGTATTTTGCCACATACGTGGGTTCGGTCCTCCAAGGCCCGTTAGGACTCTCTTCAACCTGCTCATGGCTAGATCACCCGGTTTCGGGTCAAATTGATACAACTATCTACAATTTCATTACGCCTACACCTAAGGGTTTAAGCTTGCTGTATCAGTTTACTCGCTGACCCATTAGGCAAAAGGTACGCTGTTAACCTTTGCAGATCCATTATCCATTGATTGATGATGCATCTTTCAGCCTTCGACTGATTGCTTGCATCGGATCGCCGTGACCGGTCAGGTTCATGTCCACCTCCTTGCTGTAAAACTTTTGAATTAGATCTGGGCCAATGAGCCACTTGGAGGAACCATGTGGTGCAAATTTATGATGTCATCTGCCGCTCTTGCAAAGTCTCATTGCGGGGATCAGTCACAGGGAGGCGGATGCCCGATGGTCTCATCGTCGTGATAACTGACAAAATTTGGCCAACTGTGTCCCTTCTTTTTGTGTGTTCCTCTGTTTTTTTTTTAATGAATGGCTCGCTGTCGGAGTGGCGAGCCTTCAAAAATTGAGGTAAACTACTCTGTGTGACCAGGCCACGGTATTCTCTTTAGTAAAAGACGAAAGAATAGTGTGCCACACACACGAAAAGGAGACTGTGTCCCTATTTCAATCTGGAAAGGAATTGCAGATCGCTAAGAAAGCAGTATTCTTTTCATTGACTTCATTTGGCATTCCCTGTGTGAGTGAGTGCAGGCATTTCAAAAGCTGGTTTATGTGTCAACACTTGTTTTCGGGGACGCTTCTAAGTTCCTTCTGCCTTGGAAGCGTGTGTTCAAGGTCTCAGATGCCCAGGTAAGTCACGCTCCTGAGGGATGATATGCCCCTGTCTTTCTTCCTTTCCCCCGCAAGTCTGGCAGGGACGATGAGCCGTGAGTGTGAGTGCATGAGAGGAGCAGTCTGTGTAATGTAGGTTGTGAGGTTCATCTTCATTAATAGTTGATAGGTGATGTGGTGTCATTTTCAGCGAATTTTTCACCAAAACTGCCATATTTGATGTTTCCCTGAATTTGTGCTTTTTTTCTTGTTTTTTTTTTTTGGTGTGATATGTGTGTGCTTTAGGGTATATATATTTGTATTCAGTTTCGAGTCTTTCGGCGTATTTGGACCAGTAACGAAAAAGTTGGCAAAAACACCGAATTCAGAGAAAAGTTTGGCGAACTCTGAAAGTTCCTCCGAATAGGGTTTTATAGGGCTTTTGAGGTTTTTTTTTTTCCCCACCTTTTTTTTGGCCTGTTTGTTTTTTTGATGTTTGTAGTATGAGCCTGCATTGTCTGTTTGGGAAATTTGACGACATTGCTTTGTCGTGATGCGGCGAACCCCCCCGATTTCTGGGCCTTTCAGTAACCATCTCTCCTGTCCGCTTCACCTTACTGTAACCATTGGCCGGCTCTGTTTATCAGCAGGCTTATGTGCATACTGTTCAGCCAGCAGGCAGGTAGGTACAGAGGGGATCGGTTTTCTTCTGTTGTCTCTTCCTTCACAAATCTGTGTCGGTGCGGTCACCTGCCGCTGGAAGTAAGGCAAAAGAAACCTCCTTACTATGGTCTGTGTTGGAGAGTGTGGCCAGGGGGCATCTTTTCTCTGAATAGGCTTGTTAATTAAACTTCGCTTCCAGCTCTGAAACCATTTTTGGTGCTATCTTGGGGGTTGGGGGTTGGGGTGGGGGTGATCAAAGCCTTGTGTCGACCTTCAAATTCATTGCGTAGAGGCCGTACTAAAGGAGCCCAAAGTTCCGTACCTCCTTGGGGTGCATCAGCAGGGTGCACAGTCTGGTAGTGCATCTGCTTGGGTAAACCTAACCCGTCTCATGATGGTCTAAACCAAACAATCCAACCCTTGGTGAATTTTGCTTCATAATGATAGGACGAGCCGTGGCATTGAAGGGTAAAAAAGCAACATTGCTATGAACGCTTGGCTGGCTGCCTCAAGCCAGTTATCTTAATGGTGCCTTTTCTGATACCTCTAGCTTGAGGAATTCCTGAAATGGTGAAGGATAGATAGGCCATGCTTTCGCAGTTTGTAGTAGCACTGGAAATCAAAATTAAATGATCTCTTCGCCTTTTGCTCCACACGAGATTTCTGTCCTCGTTGAGCTCATCGTAGGACACCTGCGTTATCTTCTAACGGATGTGCCACCCCTGCTAAACTCCCCACCTGACAATGTCTGTTTTTTTTCGTTTGGATAGAACGGGCCGCGAGGTCTGCACCTTTGGTTGAGAAGCAGGGGCAAAGCCCGGGCTCCACCTCGCGAAAAGTAAAATAAGTTTAAATAACATTTAAAGTGGCGACGATATTTCACTTGCTCCGTTAAGCTCCCGCTTAATTTTGTGCTGTCTTTTGCTTGAGCTGATATGTGTGGTATGCACAGAGGGTTTACGCTTATTAGCCGAACTGTAGCCTTGCTTCCATCTTCAAACTCACTTTTTGTGGTCTTTTCCCTGAGCTATGTGTGGGGTACAACAAAGGTTTATGCCAGCCAAATTTTCAATCTTGTGTTGGGTCTGGTTGATTGTTTGGGGGGTTCAGGTTATGGCGATCATTTACTAATCTATGAGTGGGAATACTCTGGTCCCGCTTATGACAACGTTCGCAGCTCATACTGGTCTTGAATCCTTTTTATATACTTCTGGTCCTTTGCGTTGGCACTCAATGAGTGCACAGTTATGCGGTTGGCTTAACATGTTTATAATCTTTGTTTCTTGAACCCTGCTTCTGATGTGTTTTACTCATTTGTGGTGTTTCAGGTTGAAGTTGCTATCCGAGATAATGCTACACGATTGTTCACTGTCAAACTTGATGAAGTTGATGCAGGTCAGTACCTTACCTTATCCCCGGAGCCTCAACTCTTGAGTGAGCCAACAAAGGCTTCTTGGTGCACATATGATGTATAAAATATACACCACTCGAGTGCTCTTTCTGCCGCGTATATCTCGGTAGTGTATGTAAGAATTCCGAGTGTTCCAGCTGCATATAGCCAGTTTTTTTTTTTTTTTTTTTTTTTAATTTGGACCATTTCTCTATTCAAGTGTGTCATCCTTGTGCAGGGGCCATGCTAATCTTCTCTGTATCGTTCCAATTTTAACGGATGTCCCGAAGGACAGATTTTATAACTACCCTAAAGTTCACAGTTAAGAGTTACTGCCGCTGTTTACTGGGTCTTCCATTTGAAGCTTATGTCACTTTCTCTTTTTCACCTTCCAGCACTGGGCACGTGTCACGCTATACACCACCTTCATGAAGTGAATTGACGAGTAGCTGGAGTGATATACTTGTCGTCCTGTTGACTGGGGAGTTTGGGGCAAGGGAAACTCCCCTTCTTTGGCACTGGGTTATGGGCGTTATGCCCCTGGGCTGCTCAGTCTTTGAGTTGCCGCGGGGTTTGCTAGTAGTAGTCTACTTCTAATGTCGACATGACGTTGCGCGTTTGATGTTAGCCGAGATTTGGGAAGATGTGTAAATGACACTCAGGACACAGCAAAGTAGATTGCCAGATGCGAAAAAAGGACTGGTTGAGTGGTTTCTGGGTGGGGCGATGCTGGGTTCATGTTCTGTGTTGTAGGGCCTCTGGTGTGAGGTCTGCGTTGCCTTTTGCCCTTCGCGAAGTCCCTATGAACAAGGTTGTGAATCTCTCACTTCAATGAGGCCAGATGACTGTACGTGGTCGACCTGTTGCAATGTATGCGCGCCTGTTTTGCCAGGTGTCAAGGTTGGCACCTGTCCATATCTTTTGTTCATGACCGCGGACTTCTGTTAAACTCGCTGACTGTTCAGTGAAGAGCCCATTGGCGAGCGCCGGAGAGGTTTATTATTTTATGCCTGATTTGTCTGCTTATAGCTTGAAGGGAGAGTGTTGATAGGTCGAGCAACGTAAAGATAGTGGTGGATATCTCTCTGTGGGTGTGCTCCCATGATGTATGCAACTTGCAGACAGGGTTCTGTGTTGCCATGAAGATGAACCTAGGTCGTTTTACTGCTGTGGTTGAGAAATTCGTGCCAGCTTATCTGGTAGTAGATTAGTAGTGTGATGAATTCTTCATTTACCACTGCTAGCTGTTTTCTGTTGCCATGAAACGATGCCGTCGCCACTGTGTGGTCACTGCAGAACTGCTGCACTGAGCTGGGATTGTGTGCAGCAGTTCTATTGAAAAACGCAAGGAAAAGCTTTCAGTGAGCGCCATGATTGTTCCTTGTGTTTGGGGATATTATGCCCCGGTTATGACTTGCCACTGGTAATTTGAAAGTTGATGCAAGGGAGTAACACTGTAACGCACAAGGTCTTCCCCTTAGTAGGATGGTGTAGTAGATTCAGGAAATTCCCTCTCCTTCTTTCTTTGACACTACTCCTACATCTTGTCACTTCCAGTATTAGCAGGTGCTATAGCCTATTACTATGCTATTAAGTTTTAACTGTTGGACATTTTAAAATCACTTTCTTCTATTGTGCAGGAGGAGGAAATCCTGTTTTATTTCAACATCTGTTTTGGTTCTTTGGGCGGGACGGCCACCTTAGAGAGTGATCTCTAAAGAAAAACGTTGCCGTTTGCCATCTTGGCGTAACACGTTTTTGTAATGAAAACGGAGTCTATTTTGCACGTTTAAAAATCTTCCTTTTCTGTTTAATTTAAATTACATAAGGTGCCATTGAGACTATTTTCAAATTGCATTTTTTTCGTAGTTCCATGTGTCACAGAACCTATAAAATTATCGTACGACTTCCAATTGCTTACCTTGCTATTGCTATTGCTATTGCTGTACTGTAGGAGCATCTGATATGTACTGAGCTACTTGTCGTTCCTTTCTTTGCCTTGATCATCCTCTCCATGATCTTGGGTGTGTAGAATTGAACTTGGTCCTGTGATGTGTGGTTGGGTAGGATTGGTTAAGGAATTTGAAACAATAGAAAAATAAAAACACCGTGTTGCGGAAATCTGAACTTGGGGGCATGATTGGTTTAGCTGAAGATGTGAAGCTGTCCGTCTGGCGTTTCTGTGGCTGCCAGAGCCAGACGTGGAGAACTTGAGGATGCTCAGGGAAGAGCAGTTGAGGTTGAAGCTGACGGACGAGGTAAGGGCCCCAATAAATGACGAGAGAACGCGGTGCTCTTCTTTGTTCATTCTATCCCCCTCCACTTTTTGAAAGGAAACTCCTTTACCGTGGGCCACCCTTCTGATTCATTGGTGAGAGTGCTCAGTATTCTGTCACAGGCTCGCAGGTGCATTCGTTGGTATACTCTGGTGGCATGTGGAAGCATTACGCTTGTGTAGGACCGGATATACTAACCTCTGCTTATTTCTGTTCAGACTTTGCTAGCCCTTCTATGTAATATATATTCCTTCTTTTTCCTCAGCTTTTGCAGTTTATAGATGATGGTGTGATATAACTTATTTGAATATGGTTTGTGTTATCAGAATGGAAAGGAATGTATTTTTTGCCATGACAAGAATTCAATTACAAAAAAAAAAAAATCTCTTACTTTCTTCGAAGTAATCTGACAGAAAGAATATTACCATGGCTTCGGGCATGGTCAGCTCTCATAGTGTGACGGACGGTGGTGAATGCTATTTTTAGGCCTGTCCACAGTCGTCGCAAGGGGTAAAAGGATGGAGGTGGTCCTGGCCACAGTCGGCAGGTGACGTGAAAAAGGATGGATGCGGATGAGACAGGGATGGCATCTCTCCGCAGTGCTTTTGCTATGTGTTCCATTGCCGTTTGGTCTCTGGCCACTGCGACAGTCTGAACGCCAGAAAAATTCGAAGAGGAAATGATAGACAGACAAGAAGGTGAATCTGAATGCTCATATGTTTATCACCATTTTTGTCACCTTTCACTTGTCTTCCGTTATCCCATCGGTATTGTTTATATGCAGATATGGGTCTTGATTTTTGGCAGAGGCGTGCACTTGATCTTGTTTCAGCGTCATCTATCCATATGACGTCTGATGTTAGTAAATGGACTCTTTCGTGTAGTTTGGCTCACGTTCTCTGGGCAAGTATGTGTCTTGACTTGCTGTCACTCTCCTGCCTGCATCGTCTATCAATGACTCATGAATGGTCTAATTTCGTACATGAACCTTTTCCATGCAGGTGGCTTTGGATCTGTTCCAGTCCAAGGCAAGGCAAAGGCTTGAGGGACACATATCTCGAGCTCTCGAGATTCTGAAGGCGAGAACAAGAGTCAAGTGAGTATTTATGAACACCATTAATGGTGTTAGGATGTTTTTTTTTCCAGTTGTTCCTCCATCACTTTCACACCGACTTCTCTATTGTCCGCTCTGTCCCGCCCCGTATCATTTGAAGGAAGTGCTATGTCCCTATGTTGCTGGATGGTAGTCTTCACGTCGGCTTTGGGAAAATATGGTATCGCAAGCGTGTTAATTTGACAGAAACAACTTAGAGCACCTGTGTGGATGGGAAGTTGACTTCATGTTAATCACCCTCTTCCCCTGGGCCTCCACTGTGCCCTCCAGCTTAAGATTCTATTGTTGGGCGGCGAGTGGGATAATGTGATTAACCGACTGATTGATCGATTTTGTGACCGTATTTCTGTTCCCTGGATGCGAATGCAGGGATGTGAGAAGAGTGGTGACTGAGTTAGAATCACTGCTGAAGTATAATTCTGCATTGGCAGAAGTCTCTCGATTGGAAGGTCTCATTCCAGGGGTCGGACCAGCATCGCTCATGGGTAAGTCGTGTACATCGTCACAAGCTTATTTCCAACCTGCCGCTCATTTCATTTCTGTGTGCAGCTTGAATGTTCCCTTGTCTCTTAGCACAAGCTCATTGCCTTACTTCGGATAATCAACGAGGGAAGAAAAAAAAGAAGGAAAGAAGGGAAAGAAAAAGACTGATTGACATCCACTGCCAAACCTGAAGGAACGGAACGCATGTACGGGGTGATTTGGCATGAACGCTTGGCTACGTTTTCCCTCCCCATCATTCCCCCATCCGCCTGTTGCAGAACAGCCACAGTTGTTTGATCTGGAAGAGCCGCCATTGCTTCTTGAATGACGCATATCGTCTTTCCACTTTCCAAAGGGTTCCTTTTGATTTTGCTCCTATGTTGCTGGGCCACATGTTTGGCAAACACTGGGCTCTCTTGTTCCACATCCAGACATTTGGACCAGATGGCCAGCTGGACAACCTATCTTCCAGGGTGTAAAAAAATCAATAGATGGCCAGCTGGACAACCTATCTTCCAGGGTGTAAAAAAATCAATAGATGGCCAGCTGGACAACCTATCTTCCAGGGTGTAAAAAAATCAATATTTCTGGAAATATTAAAAAAGATACTGGCATAGTAGCTTTGGGCCTCGCTCCACCAACCACCAATGTGAAGCAAGACAAGAAAATGGGGACTGTATGTTTCCAGCTTCTCGCTGGAGACACACGCCATTTCATGCGCTTGGTGAGTAGTGGAGGGAGGTCCTTTCTTTCAGGGCGTGCGAAGTTGATGGGAAAAAAAAAACTGTGTATAATTGCAATAGTTAAACCCTGTCTGTAACCCCTTGAACCCCAGACATGCTTTCTCTCTCTCTCTCTCTATATATATATATATTTCGTTTTATGGACCTTCTGTATGGTTCCGTTTTTTCAAGTGTTGGTTATGGTAGATGGTATTTTTGGTCCCGGGTTGGTTTTGTCTCGTTGTTCGGTCCACATGGCGGTGGTTTCATGTGGGACTTATCATCCGGGTTTTTCTTTTTGGCATCCTAGTTGGCTGGTTCCCGTTGTTAGGCCTATCGAAGGGGGCGGTGCTTTTAGGTGGGAATCGCCATCTGGGATTGTCTTTATATAGTTTTTTTTGCAGGCAAGGGTGTTGATTGCTATCCTGGTTGGTCATTGTCCCGTTGTTTGGCCTGTAAAGTAGGGGGCGGTGCTTGCATGTGGGACTTATCATCTAGGATCTGTTATGTTTGTTTTTTGGCACCCTTGTCTGCATCCCAGTTGGTTTTGTCCCGTTGTTCGGTCTATTTTGGCGAGCGTAGCGGTGCTTTAATGTGGGACCAGTCATCCGTTTTTCTCTGTTGTTCGGCCTATGAGAGCATGAATGGTTTAGGAATGGGAATACCGATGTCTTGATGACGAACAAGGCCATCTGCTGTAGATAGTTTTTTTTGCAGACAAGAGTTTTGTCCTGGGTGGTCTTGTCCTGTCGGTTTTGCCTGTGAAGGAGGGGCGGTGCTTGCATGTGGGACTTGTCATATAGGATCAGTTTTTGGTGCTGTTGCTTGTTGCCCCCTGTTTTGTTGTATTTGGCTGTTCCCTTCCTCTTTTCTTTGCCTTTTGGTTGTGTGCAAGTGGGTTGATATGACACACGGGGGTGGGGGCAGCTGCCACTCAACTTACATCCACGTGGTCGGCCTTGTACGCAAGAGGTTCTGAACAGGGGGAGTTATAAGGAAGAAGATAAAAAAATGAATTTATTTTTCTTTGTTTTCTTTCTGTTTTCTTTTCGCTTTTGCGTTCTGATAACTTTGTGACAATATATTTAGTTCATAGTTATGTGACAGTATATATGATATATATGACTATATATATAAACCAAGGTCATATGACTCATATCTGTGCCCTATTTGACATGCACAATGCCTTTTCCACATTTTCTTAAAATGTCCATATAAATAACTAGGGACCAGAAAATCCAGGTTCAGATGGTCCAGCGGCTGGGTATGGGGATGTGGATTACGAAACTGCCCAGAACACAAGCAACTTCTTACTTAGGGTCCACTGAAAATTCCTCACTAAACTGCTTCGTTCAGAAAAGAAAAGAAAAAAACTCACTTTTATGCTTGTTCTAGGTCCTACGATATCCCTTTAGGAAGTTAAGCTCTTGCTGAAACTCGCTTCATTGAATGTGCACAACCATTCCTCTGCATTTTCTAAGTTGTTCAGGTCTCAGGGACAGCTGACTATGTGGGTTGAATGGGATGTCCACTCAGCTGATCGGGTGAGGTAACCTGGTGCTCTAGGTTTGCAGTTATGAAATTTTTGGCCCTGACTTCAAGCTCACTGGCACCTCGAAGCTGTGACAAGAACCTTTAAACGAAAAAAAAAAAAAAAACTCTGGTTCCCATGTACTGCTGCGTAGGTGTGTCTGATGGGAACTGGTTCCAGCGTCTTACAGTAGCGCAAGCATATCCCCCTTCCGGCTCCAAAAGAGAGACACCCCCCCCCCCCCCCCCCCCCCCCCCCCCCCCCCCCCCCNTCCCTCTTTCCCTATTTCCCCCCCCTCCTCCGTAGCTTATAATTGCTGAGAAGTTAGAACCTTCAATGTTTAACTAATAACCTTTCATAATTTGCAGGCCAGTTTTCGGACGATGTTAAACCTACTTCACCTAGAAACTTTGGAAAGAGTGTTCTGACATGCATAACATGTGGTTGATTGACAGGTGGAGACTATGACAGCGACCGCGCAATTGTAGATTTGAAGCAACTGTATCAAACCTACCTAACAGAAGCACTCACTTCGGGCAAGCTGGAAGATGCAAAGGTGTGTGCAACCTCAACATGCTATTGCCCTTTGTGCATGGAAGTATGTGGTTGTCCCTCTTGTGTGCAGGCTTGACTGTGCATTTGTGTGTTGGAGCACTCGTCTATGTCGTATGGGTTTTGTGGATTTGATGGAGCTGTTCTTCTTCTGCATGCTTCTGCGTGCAGATGGATGACTGCATGCATGTCAAGCTTGGGAAACATGTTGTGAATCTGCATTTCATCAGCTCTCAAACTCCACCGATGTATCGGTATATTTCTTAAACAGAGAAGAACTGGGATGCGTTGGTGCCTGGGAGGACCGAGACCTCGATTGGGATCCTCATTTTCTACACCAATTTTGGTCTCTTGTGCATTGTTCGCGACATCTCTATGCAGCTGATTTGTACGTCGATGACGTTAGTTTTTTCGAAAACTTTCTTTCTACTTTTTGGCTTCTGTCTTCGGCTGATAAGTAATGGATACGTTTACAGTTTTGGCACTCTTGGTGGAGTGTGTAGTGGGAATGCGAGAATGAGCGGTCATAGAATAAAGCAGGGAGGGGCTCTGTATGGCTAGGCACAATCTTTCATGGAGAGGTATTGAGAGAGTTTTGCTGAGGACCCCTCCCATGATTACGGCTGATATTTTACACTTGCTCCCTCAACCGTCTCTATCTTTATGGTGGCTGCTAAGACCCCTCCCATGGTTACAGCTGATGTTTTATACTTGCTCCCTCGACCCTCTCTGTGGTGGTTACCATTGTGGCAAAATTCACCCCATTGTTTTTGCGTTCGTGATCCAGGCTGCCAATTTGACTCAATTGAAGAATATCTTCGGGATGGGCAATAAGGAGACTGAGGAGTTGACAGGGGATATAACCACGAAGGTGTATCGTCGCAAACTGGCCGCTGCAGTCAGTGATCGGACATTGGAAGCTGCTCCCAGCAAAGCAGCATACTTGCAACACCTCTGCGACGACCTCCGGTTTGATCCTGAAAGAGCGGCCAAGGTTCATGAGGGTAAGTTTCTCCTCAGGCCCTTCTTGTCCTTGTTAGACCTTCACCACCTTTCTTGAAAGTCGTTTCCCTTCTTTCAGACATGAGTTTGGCAGCTAGATTTTCTGTTTTCAAGAGTGGACATCTTCCCTGCTCTTGTGCATTTCTTGTGTGCCTTGTTTATCCTATCCTATCCTATCCTATCCTATCCTATCCTACCTTATCCTAATCCTATTCTATCCTATTTCAAGGGACAGCACAGCACAGCATTGAAGACCTCTGCCCCATACTGGTAGATTGCATTTTGTTTTTGTTGGGAGGTTGGGTGCTTGTGTTTGGGTCCTGATCGTCGATGGAGGGCAACGCCACAACAGTGTGTCATGGATCCTTGAATTGGGCTCACATATGAATCACTCACAACACTCTATACACGGCTGGATTGCTGTCTTCACCCAATATGGTCATTGTGGCTGTATCTAGACTTGAAGTTGCCCTACATACAGCTGTAATCACCGTACATTCTATTTGGGGGAAGACGGTAGAGCACGGGCAAAGCTCAAGGTCAAAGTGTGGCATGTGCCACAGAGCCACAAGCATTCACACATGGGGTGCTGCTCAAATGGTTTCTTATGAAGTTTCTATTGGTCTTATTATAATTACTGTACTAATTTGCGTAGGTTCTTGTAATTTCACGGAAATCGTCATAGCACAAAAACAGATATGGTTTGGTATTCCCCAGGCTCCGGCCTCTTATTGCAACTCTGCACTTGTTCGCAATGTGAACACTGAACAGTCAAGGTAACAGCCTTCAAGGCAGGCAAGGACAGTGATGTACCCTTTTCAAGAACCTGTTGATGAATCGGAGCTTCGGCGTCCGATCTTCCTGCCTGCCTCCTAACCACTTCCTTTGTTTACTTGTCCGAAATGCTCAAAGGTTTGGTTTTCGCCAGGAATCTTGCAACAAGAATTACACCTAATGTCTCGCCCTCTGTGACTACCTAGGATCTGGTCATCAAGTCATAACTGTCGTATTCGGGAAGTGAGTTGAATGTGCTTCTTTTGCTAGACCACAGGTTTCTTACACATGAGGTCAGAGTCCGTTAGACATTTGGTTTGTTTCTTCCCGATACGTCACTTGTGTGCTGCATCTCTTTCCTGAGTCCAGTGGTAATGGTATGAAATTATGAATGGAGCCTTTTCACACACCCTACCAAGTCTGGGCATGGTTGCTGTTGCGAGGTTTTGCCCTGGAACATTGTGAACAGGTTCTCCGAACTGTTGCGAGTTTTTTTTTTTTTTTTTTTTTTTTTGACTCTTATTGTGTTTTTTGTCTTGTTCGATCAGGATCCGAGCTCATGCTCTGTTTTACCATAACAGGTAACATGTGTGCCATTCAGTCGCATGGGCTGGGTCCATCGGCCTGACGCTGGCCATGAGATCCCGCTGAAACTCGGTTCCTTTTCTTTCTTGTTTCACGAGAAAAGAAAAAAAGACGACGTACCTAGAATGGTTGTGCAGCTCTGCTTAATTTTTCTATTTGTCAGTGACTTTGGATATGGCTGTGTGGTTGTCATTGGGCCTAAGGTAGGGCAACTGTGGTTCACGCGCATGTGCAAATGGAGGACAACGTGACTGAGCAGGGTTGCAAATGCGTGTGCAAATGCTTTATGGTTCGGAGACTGCGTCACTGAACTGCATTGTGGAATAATCCGCTGTGACGTGTGAATGGAGCGCAGAGATTTACAGGCAAAAGCTCGAGGCATGTTTGGAAGACAACAAACTCAGCGATGAGGATGCCAAGGCGCTGTTAAGGCTCAGAGTGTTCCTCTGTGTACCGGAGCCTGTGGTCACTGCATCTCAGAAGGAGCTCTGCGGAAAGATCTTCTCCAAGGTGGGTTAATGCATGTCAAATGTGTATCACCAGGTTCCACCTACCGGTGGTTTTCTCCTTGCTTTATTATGCTTAATTGCTCATCTTTCCTCTTGCAGAGAGGCGGAGTGCTCAGCAGTGATGAATTCAGAGCGAAATGGAGCAAGGAAATTGTAGGGAACAAGTTTTTTTTTGTTTTTTTTCCCAATGGAGAATGGCCTTGTTGTCGGGGAACCAAGTCATCCAAATCTTATATAAAATAGTTTTCAAGAAGAAATGTTGCTCGAGGATAGACCCCCTTGTGAGGACCCCTTTGTGAGGGAAATGCCACAAGAGCGAAGGTAATTGCGCTTGATTCCTGTTTGTGCAGGTTGTGGAGGAGGCGTTGAGCGGAGGTGTCGACGGTTATGATGCAGAGATGCGTAAGAAGGTGAAGCAGACGAAAGAGGATCTGCGGCTGGATACCCCTGCAGCACTAGAGATTGCTGGCAAAACGGTAAGTCCCAATGCACCGAGTTATTGGTTACCTGTGTATAGGGGCTCTGCATAGGCACAGGACAAATCGAAACCAAACAAATGTGACAGTAAGAGGGGTTGGGTGCTTTTAGCTGGTGCTTGAGTGTAATATGCTGGTACAACCGACCCTTGTGGTGAAAATGTTATGCGCTCTTCTATTTCACAGGTTTCCTATGCCAACTTTTGGACTTTCTCTTTTCACTGGGAATAAATAGAAGAAAAATCGGCCTCCCGCTCCCTTGGCTTGGAGTCTTATTTTTTGGTGAAGTGCTGAGGTTTTCTGCTGATGAACTTGCCACCTCTCTCTCTCTCTCTCTCTCTCTCTCTCTCTCTCTCTCTCTCTCTCTCTCTCTCTCTCTCTCTCTCTCTCTCTCTTACACACATTTACTGACAGTCACGCACATGTGGAGGCTGTCAGGTCGGATGGATGTTAAATTGTTGATGCGTCCTCGTTGACCGCGTAATTATGGGGAGCCCCAAGGCAGGTAACACTCATTTCTATGGATCTCTTCTGTCCCTTCCTTTCCCTTCTACTCTCTGCCGCTCGCTCCCTGCCCCCCATTATCAGGGCAAGTGTCCAGCAGTGACATCCCCTCTCCCCCCCCCACCAACCCCCCATTTGACTGGGCAATGGTGCAGCACCAGCATTTTGTCTTTGCACACACACTGGCAAGACGCGCATATAAACACATGCTAATCGGCTGTCGAGGTCCAGCCTCCTGATGAGTCGGTGGAAACCCGACGAAACAGTCTGTCACAGTCGGATTATTGGTACTTTGCAACCACATTACACTAGGTAGTAGATAGCGGTATTTTGCAAAAACAGTGCACTAGATGGTCGAAAGATTGTATGACACGTCTTTTCTGATGTTCGTCTTCATCAGGAGGGATTGTCATCACCATTTCTTGCTGACTTTCTGTCTTGATCACGCTGATTTTTTTTTGTTCCCCCTCCCCCCCCCCCCCCCCCCTTCTGATCGATCTCGCAAGAAGAGTCATAATGACACAAAAAAAAAAAAAAAAAAAAAAAAAAGCCATATCCTTCTCTCAATATCTTCACTGTACGTATCCCAAAAAACTACACTATATTCCTCTCTCAATATCCTCTCTGTAGAGTCTGTACCTATCAACAGGCTTCCCGGCAGGGATGGGTACTGATACCGTCTCTCAATTCCCTCACTGCTCTGTGCGGGGAGCAGAACCCTGGATCCTAACACTGGTCACAGCTGGAAGGCGGATACAACACCTACCAACCAACCAGGACGGGCAAGCCAACTATCACGGCTGGCGAGCCCGCAGCGGGCCTCAGGAGGTCGTGGGGGTTCGGATGGAGGCCTGGGGAGCAAACCCATGACCTCCTGAATGCCGCTTTCGTGCTCTAACAACTGAGCTAGGCCCGCGGGCCCTTTCAACTTATTCCTTTCTTATGGAGGGAATTAGGAATTTTGTTTTTTCCTGAATTGTTTTTCCCGTTTTCCACTGTTATTTTTCTGTTCCCTTTCACTTTTAGTTTTTCATTCACATTTATCGAACTTCATTTGACAAATGAAATTCCGTCTCCCTCATTACCCGGCTTTCTTTTCTTTTCTTCTTGCATGGCGCCTCTCTTTCTCTTCCTCTTTCTCTTTCTCTTTCTCTTTCTTTTTCTTTTTCTCTTTCTTTTTCTTTTCCTTTTTCTTTTTCTTTTTCTTTTTCCTTTTTTTTTTCCCTTTCGTTTTATTGAAAAGAACCGTGTGATCCCTGCATTGCATGGCTCGTTTTTCTGCTTTTTGAGGTTTACTGAACTTCATTCATCACTTTTCCTCTCACGTGTGCGACTTCTTCATCTTCTCACATCTTTTTCTTTCTTGCACAGATTCAACAGAAAAGAATCCTGTCATTGCTTTTCCACTCACATTTGTTACTTGAACTCCTCTATCTTCTCACCTTTTTTTCCCTTGCATAAAGTTGCATTGTATTTCTCTATCTTCTTCTTTGAGCTGTATTTCATTACTTTTCTTCTAACAATGTCTCTTTTGAGTCTTTTGACTCTTTTCAGATCTGGTATCCCCTGTTACATTCCTTGCTCCGTAATTATTTTTCTGACTTCTCTAAACACCATTTATTATTTCCAGTCTGTCATCCCTAGTTTGTCCGTGGATGTTTTTCTCCGTCTATTCTTTGCTTAACGGTCCCCCCCCGCCCTCTTTCTCTCCTCTCTCTCTCCAAGCAATGCCACGGAAGTTGCGGAAGGCATCACACCAAATTCTACCTCAACTGGCAGTGCCCATTGTCCCTTTTTGTATTTCCATTGTCCCAAAGCCTTGTTCGCTCTAGGGTAACCAAACCCCACGGCAGTGCCTCGAGTTCCTTCTTTTTTTTTTTTTTTTTTTTTTAATTTGGACCATTTCTCGATTTATGCGTGTCATCCTTGCGCAGGGGCCATGCTAATCTTCTCTGTATCGTTCCAATTTTAACGTTTTGAGTTCCTTCTTCTTTTTCTGTCTTTAGTACTTTTTCTGTGTGCTTCCGTCTCTCCGAAGCCTTGTTTGCTCCAGGGCAGCCAAATACATTCTCTCTGTTGACCCTCTTTTTTAATGTCAGTAATGCTCATACAAGCGACTCAGCATGCTCAGCATGGTCGACGTTCCGGCGACATGACATTAGGGTTCAGATGTGGAGTAGATCACCCTGCTGAATCGCGGAAACGGTATTCTGACTGGCCACGATGCAGAATTCCATGGAAATGATAGCCAGCAAGTCTGCCTAATGCTGCTACTGTCTTCCCACCCCAACAAAATAAAAATAAAAATGATGTCTTGAATAGAAGCATATGCGTTGTATTTGAATATTCCAGCTGTTCGAATAGAACGTATATGTTTTGTATTGGAATAGAAAGCCAACCTATGTGCTACATGCGTTTACAATGCATGCTCGGGGGAAGGCTGTAGTAATGCATTGCCGAGCTTCAGTGCAAATTTTACGGCACGGAGATGTACTGGTGGTGCAACTGTCTTAATCTATAACAGGCAGTGTCGACATGGCCAAGGTTGTTGAGTTTGTTCTTTAGCTGGGAAATTGCGCAGGTTCTGAACGGTGTTTTGTCCTTGACTGCAGGTGCGTGCCATCTTCATGGGCTTTGTCAGAAGATCGCGGTCCATGACAACCCGTAAGAATTCTGCGAAGGAGATCAGAAAAATGATAATTTTCAGCAACATCGTGGTCACGAACCTTATTGCCGACATTAAAGGTGAAGCAGAGGCATTGGAGGCATCAACGTCTTCCGCGCTCTCTCCTGAAGAAAGAGGGCTGAAGGAGAAGCCACAGGAGGAGGAGGAGGAGGAGGAGATAGACGAGGACGATATTGAGGCGATGTATGCAAGAGAGCAGAAGAAGAGAGAGAAGAAGGACACAAGAGTGGAGCGGTCTCAGAAGGAGATTTCGTTGAAGGACGACATGGAGTTACGCGAAAAGCTGGATCTGTACAAGAGCTTCTTAATGTTCTGTCTACAAGGGGACACAACCGGGATGCCTATGGGTACGCAGATTGTCACCCAAAAAGACACGTCGGATTTCGCTCGGCTTGCCCAATTGGGAGACCTCCTCGGATTGAATGCTCTGGAAGTTGCTGGGGTCCACAAAGGCCTTGCAGAACAGGCATTCCAGTCCAACGTAAGGACAATCATGGCAGACGGCCAGCTGACGCCAGCGAAGGTGGAACAACTGAAGGCCCTACAGAAGCAACTGGGTCTCCCCGATGAGTCAGCCCAGAAAGTAATTCGAACATTCACTCAGTCGACGATGGCAAGCACATTGAGGGAAGCAGTGGCCTCGGGTAAGTTGAGTGTTGCGGAAGTCAAGGAACTCAAAGCTGCGGGCGTGGACGTGGAAACCATGGTCCCGAAGGAAATGCGGGCCAGCATCTTCAAGAAGCATATGGAGAGTACTTTCCACTCCGGAACGGGTGAGTTTGACGAGAAGGAGATGTACGAGACTCTGCCAGCTGATCTGGGGCTGGATGTGGCGCAGTCAAAAAAGATGGTGCAAGATTACGCAAGAGAAAGGACGAGAAACGCCCTCGTCACCGCTGTTGCACTGTTGAGACAGAAGAAACCCACGGAGGCCGTTGCGTCGCTGAACAATTTGATGGCATGCGATAAGGCAGTCCCTGCAACCGGGGCATTGACATGGAACGTGAGGGAAGAGCTGCTTGACCTGTACAGCATATATCTTACTCGACCAAGCCCGGATGGGGACAGGTCGAGACTCCGTGAGCTTCTTGGTATAGAGGAGGGTGAGGCTGCTGCTCTCAAGGATCTTGTGGACTCCGGTGGCTTTACGCTTGAGAGCCTGGAAGAGGAGGAGTTCGCCTTTTAGTCCAGCCTGCATTGGCGATCATTAGATGAGTGCTGAAATTGGGCAGGTGAGACATCATTCCACACGATATTCCTGCTCTCCCCTGGATGTCTGTAACCCTCTCAGGTTAATAGAGCGCAATCATAATCCAAATGCGGGGAGAGCTCAAACCTCTCTTCCACCAATCGAACGCATGCGCTGTGCATGTCTAATTTGTAATGTATGCAAGTCATTGGTTTGTCATTGAGACAATTTCGGGTGAAAGAAATTCCCATGGTGTGATGGACGGTGCGAACAAGAACCCGAGTACGTAAAAGGTTTAGGGACGGGAGTTGGGTTGTGTAGGCCAAATAAAATTCGGCTGTATGTGGGAAACGCGCTGTGGCCTTCGGCCCTTCGTCTTGTGTGTGAAATTGGTTACACATATGTTTCAAGTATAGCCAGGTTCAGCGAACACAGTCCTATTGTGTGCATGCCATTCGAAAGTAGACATCCATAATGCACCCATGCCATATGAAACCAGTATCTGTGGCTAGGTGCTGGTGGAGCACACACATGCGAGGGTCTTCCCCCGAATTCATTTGACCTTTATCATGATTCATGACTGTATTAGACTGGAAAAATAGCTTGTATAGTTTCACGTTGAGGGTGCTTTATGTTGGGGGGTAAAGGGCCTTCCATACTTACGGGGCGATTTGGTTATTTTTTGGAAGTCTTCTTTAGTTTAATTTAAATTCAGCCTGAGGCAAAAGGTGTTCAGTTTATTTCTCTGCCGCATAGCAGAGTTTTTTTTCGGTTTTTTTTTTTTTTTTTTTTTTTTTTCCTGGGACCTTCACTGGTCCTTGTACGGTCCCGGGAACCGCCCGGGAAAACAGGGTGACCCGGGCGACCCAGCTGGTTGAGCCTAGCAGCACGGTGTTTTTTCTTCCGTCGTTTGGCCAGCACCGGTAGCCATTTTGGTCTGGTAGCCCTGAGCCCGTGGAATTTTCAGATTGGCTCAATTTCTATTATCAAGTACTGGCGGTTTAAGAGTTGCATAAGTTGAGGCAGGGATCTGTTGGATGCACTAGTTGAACACTGGGCCTTTTTGTCGAAGGTTTTCCGTCCCGAATGTCTTTCCCAATGTACTGCAGACTGACGTAGTCCGTTTTAATGTTCTTCCACCAGACATTGATATGCCCTTGCCGCCTTTGATGTGTCCTCCATGGGCTTTTGCAGCTTTGCTGTGTTCAATTATGCCTCTCACAGCCAGAAGCAGAAGTACTCAATAGCTTAGCTTCCCAGTAACGCATAGGTTAAAAATCGTGCAATTTTTCTCTCTTCCCTCCCCGACCGGCGACCGGTGTCTTGCGCTTCTGACCTGAGAGTATCTTGTACTACTAAATGTACATTGTACATTTGAGTTGCAGCCTCCATCAGCCTCCTTCTGAAAAGACTTTCTTGTCGTCCTCGACTTGGCATTCTGTTTGCTGCATCTTTGCGGAGTCCCTCAGTGCATGTTTTGGGCGGCCTTGATAACCTTTTCGGACCTTCCATCAGTACCCTTGTAGGTTCGCCACACCTCTTTTTTCCCCCCACCTTTTCAGACAGTCCCTGTGCTTTTGAGACAATCTGTCAGTATCCTTTTGGCGGTTTGCTGCATATTTGCAGACAGCCATCCTGAACTCTCTGATTGGAGAATTTCAGACCGCCTTGTTTCTTGTCTTCCTTCCGCAGGTCCTTGTAACCTTTTGGCTGTGTCATCCGCTTTTTAGTCCCCCCCACCCTCTCTAAGGTCGACAGCCGTCTTGAGGTATGATCGTTGAAGGGTTGAACTGATCGACCCCAGGTAATACATAGGTATTCTACTCGTTCGATTCCATCCTGATTCGAACTCAGGTCTGCTTATCAGCAGTATATGTGTGTATAGTACTGTATACTCATTCGATTCCATCCTGATTCGAACTCAGGTCTACTTATCAGCAAGCAGTATATGGGCTTGGTACTTTTCTGTATCGTCGCAATGTTGACGGATGCCTTAAAACTTTAAAAGTCTGCACACACACTGTTGCTCTGCTTGTGGCCTCACACAGAGCAAGCTTGTCAGGCTGAAGTTTAGAAGTTTAAAGTTAATAGACTTTAAACCATTTACGCGTGCAGTGATTAGCTGGGTGGCAGTGCATGTGGATGGTGAGAGGATGCATTCTCAGTGGGTGACATGGCCGGTTGGTTCCTGGTTGGTTGTTGAACTTGTTTGACTTAAGTGTTTGTTTGAATGATGATTTGATCCATTGGTAATTGTTGCCCGGTTTCGTTAGCTACCGTCTTCCCCCGAACATAACGCACCCTAAAAATGAATGTATAGAAGCTATATTTCCGGCCAGATACAGCCAAAATAAGGGTGCGTTGTGTTCGGGGGAAGACGGTAGTCTCATGAACACTTAAGTTGTTGATCATTGGATCGAATTGGGTTATGTTACAGCACATGGAAAGTAATTGACGCTCGAGAGTGAGGAAATTTTCCGGCCAGGTGGAAAAGTGTCGATGCTAGAGAGGGGGAGCTGCTCTGCAAGGGAAAGGCACTCTACATCCGCTCTTTCTCACTAAAACTCGTCAAATGATCGGAGTTATTGGTGGGAGGACAGAGTTTCACTTCCCAGTGGCTGGGCTTAGACTTTGCAAATGTGTTTGATTAGAATTTAGAATGCAACGTGCAACGTCGTTGTAGTTTGGTATAGGAACCAACCATTGAGCCCTGGGTTACTGTGTATATTTTCTTAAAAGCTAGGCTACCAGCCGGGCCTCCCGGGTCCCGGGTGGCCAGCCCGTGCAAGGACCAGGGAAGGTCCCAG